TTTTTGTTTTTTGTCTTTCCTCTTATAGAAAGTACACCTGGACCTGTCATTCTGTGTTCATTTCTCCTTCCTGTCCTCTCAAACTCAGCTGGTTGAAGCAGATGGCCACTCGTACCGAGTCTGGTTCTGCTGGAGGTTTCTTCCCGTTAAAAGGGAGTTTTTCCTTTCCACTGTCTCCTTTGTGCTTGCTCAGGATGAGAGACTGACGAGGTGAAGATTCAACTCAATCTGCTGCTTCCTCAGATAGATGACTTTTAATAAGTGGCTTTTATAATGTACAGTATGTGAATGGTTTTGTACAGTTAGGAGCTGGGTGAGACTGCAGCATGCATGTCTCCAAGGACACCTCCAAGTTCTACGAACTTGGCTGAATTGATAAAAGGTACTGTATGCCGAGAAGGTGGCTCGAGGCAGATTCTCATGACTGGTCTTCATGTATGTACTTTATGTATATTGATGTAATGTCCTGAAAATCTGACCTTGCAAGTAAATACTGGTCAAAAATATTCACCTGTCATCAGGTGTGGTTCTTTTTGAGTAAGTAAGATAAAGTGAGAATATTTTTCTCCAACAGTACTCTTGTTTATTTTCTTACTTTTATCAAAAGTCAGCTGTTCAAATTAAACTTGCATTACCAGTTTAGCAATTAAACATTTTCAGGCTTTGTTTCAGCTTGTTCAGCAGCTTTCAGCAAAAATCATTCATCAATAAACGTTCACACTGCATTTTCACCAAAAATGCAATTTCTCAACTTTCTTGTTTATTTTCAGAACAACAACATTTTGTGGAAACCACCAACCTTTTCTTTCATGTAATGCTGGATCTATTAACTCTGAGCTTCTGTGAAAGGTGTGGGCGGTGTGGGACCTGGCTGTTCCAAAACAAAAGAAAAAAAATCAAATAAACATTTGAACATTGATAAATTAGTCACTCCACACTAGATAGATAAATATAAACTAAATGAGAAACAAACAAAATGTGGCAACATTGTTTTTAATAGAATAATTGTATGGAATATATAACGATAGGTTTGACATTGGTCATGAAAATATATATTTTTCATACTCCAGAGTTAATCATGGAGTTCCTCAGGGTTTAGTATTTGAACCGACACTCTTATTTATAAAAATTTCCAGTAGGAAACATAGAATGTTCTACAGTTCATGTTCTAGAATTGCGCCGCTCAAGGTGGCTGCATGTTGGAGCAGCTCTGTTACTTTCATTCTGAGATTTTGTTTTTGGAAACTTTAATTTCTCTTTCTGGATGTAAATCATATTTTTTTTGGATGATTGTTTCCTCTGGTATCGGATGCTGAGCAGCTGAAAGGATTTTTACTGAAACTTTTTTTTAGTTTTGGACATTTGTTATGATGCGTAACCATGGCAACAAGGCATCCTGATGCATGCTCAATATTCCATGTAAAAAAATCTAAAAAAGTTAAATCTGGTCCTCTGGACATAAAAATAAAATAAAAATGTAGAACCATTTTGTCTTTCATCTGAAAGACTTCCTCAGTCTGAGGTGCTGTATTCAGCTCAGTCTTATTAATAGCACCCTCTTGCAGTGGATCAACCAGTTTTCTGCTGACAGCCAAACCAGCTGCTCACATAATCAAGGAGGACGATCAGCCTAACGACGGATCATTAGCACACTGATGGCTGTTTTCGCCATCAGTGGCAGTTTTCTACAACCAACAGCAGCTGATTAACATCTCAAAAGCTCAAATAATATCTCAACTACAGCCCAAAATCTCAAATGAGTTGAAAGGATGTTCTGTGGATGCATTCTCGTCTACCTGTCAGCTGTGCTTGAGTGCCTGACCACTGAGATTCTGGAACTAGCAGGAAACACGGCTCATGACAGCAGAAGGACAGGATTGTCCCTCTGCACCTACAGTTGGCTGTCCGCAGCGACAAGGAGCTCGGCAGACTGCTGGGAGGAGTGGCCATCACTCTGGGAGGAGTTCTGTCCGGCATTCGGGCGGTCCTACAGCCCGGGGGAACCGAGAGGCCAGCCAAGTCTGGGCGGACGGATCTGATGGCATCTGCAGCCAGTTTCTTAGGATCCACTGTGGGATGGACCTTTACAAGAGATCCTTCCTGTCTACAGCCATC